CTTCCTGGAATGATCATCAATGAAAGTCACAAAATAAGATGCACCCCTAAGTGTCTTCACCTTCAAAGGACCACAAACATCTGAATACACCAAGTTTAACAAGCTTGGCTGCCTATAAGGAGGATGGGTCTTGAAGGATACTCTGGTCTGCTTCCCTTCAAGACAATGTGAGCATTTATCAAAGTTAGAATCCCTAGCTCCAGGAAGAACATTCTTCCTCACCAATACATCAAGTCCCTTGACACTTATGTGACTCAATCTTATATGCCACAACTCTGGTGAACATGCCTTATCCATCACATTAACTGAGTCAACCAAAATTAAAGCTGGCAACACATACAAGTTTTCCTTCAATTTTGTTCCCTTAGCCAAAATCATGGACCCCTTGATAATTTTCCATATTCCACCAGCAAAATTGTCGCCATAACCATCATTATCAAGTCTTCCAATGGAGATTAAGTTCAACCGAATTTCTGGAGCATGCTTTACCTCTTTAAGTAGCACTGTAGAGCCATTGTTCATCTTTAGATAAACATTTCCAATGCCAACAACCTTGGCAAGACCATTGTTGCCCATCCTCAAGTGACCAAAATCACCTGCAGTGTAAGTGCTAAAAAAACTCCCTTCTAGAAGTAACATGGACTGAAGCCCCTAAATCTCCAATCCAAGTAGAATCAGAAGCAACCAAATTAACATCACAGTCATCATACACAATGATAAGATCATCACTGGTAGCTGTGGCAACATGACCAGAAGTACTTTCTTCAGGCAAGTCTGAATTACTACTCCCTGCCCCCTTTTTGCTCTTCCACATCAAACAATCTCTCTTGATGTGACCAGGTTTTCTACAAAAATAGCACTCCATATTTTTGTGTTTCCCTCTGGACTTGCTTCTACTCTTTTTCCTGTTGCTATGCCCTCTACTTTGTTGTCTCCCCCTCTGCTCTGTAACCAAGATCTCAATCTGAGATGACACCCCCTGAGTTCTTCTTTGGATCTCCTCATTGAGGATTCCACTTTTGGCATAATCAAAAGAGATTAATTTTATTTTCAGGAGCATAATTCGTATGTGAGACCCTAAAAGTCTCCCAAGAGTCTAGCAAAGTATTCAGCAACCATAAACCAAGTATCTCATCTTCAAATGTAATACCAATATTTGACAATTGATCCAACATACCTTGAAACTCATTCACATGATTAGAGATAGGTGTACCCTCAGCATACTTCAAATTGATCACCTACTTCAAGAGATACAACTTGTTATTACCTGTCTTATAAGCATACATCTTCTTAAGTGTCAATCAGACTTCTTTTGCATTTGTTTCATTTGCCACAAGATTCCTGACGTTGTCATCTACCCACATACTGATGAAGCCACACACCTGCTGATGCTCAAACTTCCATTCTTCATCACTTTTAGAATCTGGCTTACCCGAACCAAACAAAGGTAGATGCATACTTTTAACAAACAACAAATCTTGCAATTTACCTTTCCACGAGTGATAATTCATACCAGTCAAAGGTACCATCTTACTACCAGTAACATCCATGGTTTTAACCTCCATAATTCAAGCAAATCAACTCAAAGCCACCAACCTGTGGCTCTGATGCCACTCTGTTGAGAGGCGAGGACCAAATAGGCAAACCAAACACACTAGCTACCCAACACAAGCTAGTTTAAGCAGAGCGGAACCAAACCAAGGCCTCCCCAATTTGCAAGAATCTAGTAGGAGCGAAAATACCAACTACACCAAGTGGAAGTAAAGCTACCAATGAAACGACAAGAAAGCAAAAGCAACACACAACACCAATTTACGTGGAAAACCCCCTTCAGTGTGAAGGAGTAAAAATCACGAGATCAAAAGGCCTATCAAATCCACTATCACCAGATAAAAGTAGGAGTACACCAATCCAACAATACAACAAAGATTACTAGTCCTCACCAAAACTAAACCAAGCTACAAAGGCACTAGAATATCAATACAAGATCAAAAGATCAACTAAACATCCACAAACCCAGCAACAACTTCAAAAGTACAATACTCACAATCCAGCCGATGAAAACCAAAATCCTTTGGTGGAAATGAAGAAAACAATTTCCTTGACTAGTTATCGACGAAGAAAACAATTCAATACTTTCGATCAGTCAGCAACATGCTTGAAGCAAGACGAAAGTCGGGACCTTTTAGCGACGTGAAACTCAGAAGATGGAGAATATTTAACTGGGCTTTCCCAATTCATGCTGACAGATTCATCCACTCGCTTTCTATTACTCGTCAAAGTTCCCATTGTATGCAAAATCCACGAAACCTTAGACGAATAAAAAGAAGAAGAATATGCCCCCGACAATTCATTAACAGAGCTCCACCAAATCGATAGGCTTTGAACATAGGGAAAAAATTAATTCCATAAACACGCTACCTGCTGTTCGAATTCATAAAATTTAAAATGGAAAACAACACAATTGGTGTAGAATATGACTTAAATTAGGGTTTAAGAATGAAACTTGCGGCAAATATCTCAACTGTGATTTGGGAATCGATGCTTCTCCGCGATGCAAGAACACAAAGAAAATGAAGTAGGAAGCAGTTGCATCCTTCGTATATGGAGGGAGGGAGGTAATCTCTAGCTGCTTTTATTCCCAGGAGAAGAAAACCGAAAAAAAGGAGCTCTATTTGTATTTTTCCAAGAAAAAGGAGAAGACAAAGAAAAAAGAAAAGGAAATCACAAAACGATGTCGTTTTGGCAATAGGGGGGTTTCTGCAAAAAAAAAAAAAACGGAAAAATGTTAATTAGTTATTTACATTGTTGTTCTTAATTAAAAGAGTGATGTAAAGCTTATGTCACATGACGACCGTCCAACCAATCAGATTGCAAGAAACTAATGGGCCAACCGTCACTTTTATATTAGCTTATAGATTAAAAAACAAGCCAAAAAAATTGCAAAAACTAGCTAAACATCTTAAATCATTTTGTAGAGTTTTGTCTTTGGCCTTGCTGACAGAGATGGCAAGAACAAATCTGTCAAGATGGGAATCATACCATTTCCTCCACTTCTTACTAAACAAAAGTGAGCAGTACATGACTAATTCAGGCTTACTACAAATCCTTTTGTTGCACTGATGCAAATGTCACTCATAGAAACTGATCATTTCTCCTTTCGAGGGCGATAGAAGTACTGGAGATTCGTCTGGTACAGACGCAGAAGAATTGCATGATCTGTTGACAGAAATGCCACATAATAATATTCGAATGTTCCTTAGAAAGCTAAATTCTGCAACAGTTAGCATTCCAACAAGCTAGCTGATTGTAAGAGAAGTTTAATTGAGATAGGAATATAAGACCTGAAATCGCTGTAGCAAATTTCCCCACTCAGGTCATTGTTGGAAGTTTATCAATTATCTTCTTGTTGCCAATGTTTAAGACCTTCAGACTATTACCATTGGATAAAGATACAAGAAGCTTTCCTTCTTTTAAAGATTCCAACTCAGATCAACAGTGTCAAAAACTACACCTGGAAAATGATCATCTCAGGCATATAGCCACTGAGGTGTTGTTTCTTCCTAGATTATGCACTCCAAGAGAATTGCTAATTTTCCAACAAATTTACCAAGGCGGTACAGTACGGCTTAAGATATTATTCGATGAGACAAGTACTTGAAGATCACTTGCATTGCAGAGGGAGTTGGGAATACTACCCGCAACCTTAATGCTTGCAATGGAGAAGAACTTGGCATTTGGTTAGGTAATTTCCAATGTCTTCGGGAATTGAAGAAACAAAATTGTTGCTTGAAACATCCCAAAGCCTAATCGTTGATGGATGGGGGTAGGAGTTGCCCACCGAGGTAATTCGAGGGCAGATCAAGATGAAATAGATTTTTAAAAGCATTGAAAATGTGTCAACTGGTTATGAGAAAGATTGAAGACCTGAACATTTCCATCTTCCCATAACCAGCTTGGTGTTTCACCTGCTATTTTGATTATTTGAAAGGTCACAATGCATGACTTAGATGGTAAATGCACTGAATCAAGGACGTTGATCAGCCAAATTTAACCTCCATAGGAATCGAAAACTAAGCAAACTATTGGTTTCATTTACGTACACCTCCAGAAATGGATTCCTTGCTTAGTTCAAGCCCAACAATATGACCAGAAGAATCACAATAAAACTTCTGAGTCCACTCCACAAGCTAGATGGAAACCGATGAATCAAACTTCAAATTTGTATTTGAGTTGAAGTAACAGCATTTTCTGTTGTTGAAGACACTGCCCAGCAGCAAATAGAACATGACTGCAGCAAGATTCCACCGAAAAAAAGCAACAGGGAAGACCAATTGTCGGTGTTTCTTACCAAAAAAGTGTTCTAGTGTCTAATTTAAGCTTTTGCCTCTTACATCGTATCCAAAAAAAAAATTGAAATATGCAGGCAACATCATCTGGATTAATTTTGTTGTTACTCAGAAGATGTGAAACGAGAATTTTATGTCAATCTTTTCAATTTAGGCACGAAGCCACCCCACATCGGAGCCAGGAAATCATCTTGTCCCAATTTTCAACTATTTTTAATGCATTTTTTTTTTTGGCTTAATGGGTAACAAATTATTTAGAAACATTAAACGTTCCGTCCAAAAAAAACAAAAAGGAAAAAGAGAATTATTTTTCATGAACGGAAATAGCATGCAATCGATACAATTAAAATGAAATCATTCATGTCAAAACTCACAATAATAAATTTGTTAATGAATGCTTTATTGCCATTAAGGCAGATTTCTTGTCAAATATTCGGACGAAATGAGTAAGTACTCTTTACTCATCCCTAATTAAATAAACAAAAATGTCGCAAATCATTAATTAGAACAGGTTCCAAGGATCCTTTGGTCCAAAACACAAACGTTTGGGTGTAAAATGTAATTGAACCAAAAATAAAATTCCTTTGGGTTTATGCTGTGATTTCATTTATCTTTGCGTGGCATTTTCGTCCATTCACGTCCTTAAGTTTGCGACTATCGTGGCCGCTTCCACCGCCGCCACAACTAGCAAGTATCTTGGGAGCTCGACCAAAAAACTCTTCTATTTTGGCTTCAAAATACCAAAGCGGCCATGGCTTCACTGCAATCAGGCAAGGTATTCTCTGTTTTCTTTTTTCTGTTTTTTTTTGTTTCCTTTTTAGCGATGATAATGGGTTCTCTTCTATTCTGTCTGTTCGGCCATTTTCATGCTCTCCTTCCCGGATTCTGTTCTCGTTTCTCCTTTTTTGGGGGGTCCCTTTTCTTTATTATTTTTGTTTTTGAGTTGAATTGATTCTGGAATATATTCACTTTGAGCGGATTTTGTATTGTTTATCTCGCGTAGGATAAATGGTTGTCTTTGATTTAATAAGCAATTGATTGGTTCTGTTATTACTGCCACACGGATTTATTGTTCTATTCGTGGTTTAGAAAAGAAAAAAGATGGGATTTTTGTGAGGTTGTTTGTGGGTGAAGATCAACATGCTTAACTGTTTGTAGAAATGCCCAATTCAATGAGTTCAACTTTTGGATGTTTGTTTTGATTTTGTGTTTTGAGAGGTGTAATTGTGCAGCATGTGTTCATGATAGTATTGGTGCTTTTTCAAATACATGATAGTATTGGTGCTTTTGAATTTGAAAGAGGTATACTCGTATGTTAAAAGGAAACACTGCCCAGAAGAATTCTGGCAATGGTTTCAATCTCTCAATGTACTAGAAGCAAGGTAGTCAAGTAGAAAATTTTTAGATCTTAGTTGAAATCTTAGTTTCTATCTTATTTCTACTTGGGGTTTGACTCATGGCACTTCTCTATCCTGTAAATTCTGTACTCTTTAACTTATTAATGTCTGATTCTTACCAGGTTTGTAATTTGGGTTTGGGAAGTGAAGCTGATAGGCTACTTTGCTTGATTTTGAAGATTTACGCGGCATTTTGAGTTATTCAGGGGTATTCAAATTCAATTCTGTGCCTCATTTGTTTTTACTGATATTGATCTCTGGATATACTCTTTTGCTGTTTCTATATATTAAGAGTTTCAATCCTTTTCCTTCCTCAATACTTGTTAAAACTGTACTTAGTGGTAGTAAAAATTATAGCATGGCAGTTAGGGTAACGGATCATAAGCCTGGGCGCATGGTACTGATGATGATGTACTTAAGCTGTGTTTTCTTCACTCTTTAACCACATTCATTTCATAGTTCCAGGCATACCATAAAAGGGAAACTTGATGATAGCTACTGGTAGGAGAGATTTAAGTGATGTATAACTGATGTCAAAATTCTTGTCTATCACTCCTTGGATTGTGGATTTATTAACTAATAAAACACTCTTCAAAGAACTGGGAAAAAGGGGTGAGGAGGACTAGTTATTGATACTTGGTACATATCAAAGAAGGAGGTTAGGGTTCTTCATGATGGACTTTTAGAGGGAAAAGGAATCTGTAATTTGTGGATTAGTTGTGTATTATTTAATAATAATTCTGTACAGAGATGTGCTAGTATTTATATTAATCTGTACAAAGCTGGTAACTATCTAACTGTTAAAACTACCACAAGTAAAAGACAAAAACAGCAAATATGTACAATTAAGAAGCAGAAAGTACTATGTGACTGCAGCATCCTTTCCCCTTAAAACTTCAATGGTCTGAACATGTGATTACCATTCATAGGAAGTTAGGAACAATCCATTTGAGACCAGGACAACATACTCTTTCAAATGAAACTTTTGAAACCTGTGGTTTTTGTTGCTATCTAGGAAATTATGGTTCATTTATCGATCCTTACCTTGTGATGTTTTCTGTGATGCTGTAACTAGGAATGTCTTCTGGGGCTAAAATGCTGTACTTCTGAGCATGTATTAGCTTCTTTCACTTCAAACAATATTTTATGTTTAAGATGATATTTTATATTTTATCATTCCAGTAAGAATAGAAGTACTTTATATTCCTCTTTAACTGACTTGATTATGAGATCTTGAAGCCAGACATTGATATTTCAACTTTTGGTAATATCAGGTGGGAAAATCATGTTTATTTCTAAACTTTCCAAGCTCGGAGCTTGCACAGTTCAGAAATATATAAAAGCAGCTCCAATGGATTCTATGTCAAGAAAAGCACATTTTTCTCTGGGTGAATATCAAAACTCACTGGCCTTGGTTAGTATCTTAAGACCTTGATGAAGAACTAGTTTATAGTTCTTCAAAATATGCTTCGGTGAGGTGTTACCTTAAAGAGCTACTCGTATGAATTGAACTATCCATTCATACAATTGGATTTTGAAGAAATAGCGAATGTTATCATACTTTTGTCCTTTTTTATTCTTTTGTTTTGATTAGTATTATTTACTTGCACGCAGATGCTTAAGAGGTTCTCCACTACAGCAGCTGACAATGCTTTTGAGAAAAAAGATGAAGAACAGAAAAGGTGAGCTTGTATTACAGTTGTCATTTGCATTTCTTCTTTCATTTTGATTAATATCTTCTTATGTGAATCTGGGGTACGTTTTATTGATTACCTAGAGAGTAAAATACAAGAAAGATCCTGAACCAGAACTGTTGAAGATCAATGTGAATTGTTCAATCTGCGATAGAGTTGGTACAAACTAGTTATTAGATTCACTGTCGACATTATAGAATCATAATGCTGCTTAGCATCGTTGGAACCTGTTATTCTTTGCCTCTGAGAACCTAACCATTCCTTGGACCAAGCTTGTAGCTGGTATCTTGCTCCCTAGCTGAGAGCCTCAGATTCTGTGGATGCATATGCGATTTTTCCTTGAGAAGCTGTCTGGAAATACTTGGTTTAAAAATCTTTCTCTTGAATCATTTATGTGTTGGGCTTTGTAGAATATCAGTAACATTCGTAGACCAGGATGGAGACGAGAAGCATATCAAAGTTCCTGTGGGAATGTCCATGTTAGAGGCTGCACATGAAAATGATGTGGAACTAGAAGGTAAAACTGCAGATTCCCCCCTGAACTTTTGTGCCTAATTATGCCATCCTCTGAAATCTGTTCGATTAGTTTCTTTGTCAGTCACAAAAAAAAGTAAATCGTTTTATTTCTTTTGTGACAACAGGAGCATGTGAAGCATCCCTTGCCTGTTCAACTTGCCATGTAATCGTGATGGTACACCTCTGTGAAACAACAGATTTTTCCTTTCATTGTTGATTAATACTCGTATATTCCATGAAGAATGGTTTCGACTAGTTTTTTGATTGGTGTATTCTGTCATTGCCTGATAGGATGTTGATTATTACAATAAATTGGAAGAACCCACTGACGAGGAGAATGATATGTTAGATCTCGCTTTTGGCCTGAGTGAGACGTAAGTTTGTTGTTCTCTTCAAATGAAATTCCTTCTGTGAATGCCAGACTGATTCAAAACCCAAACCAAATTGTTTCACAGGTCCCGACTAGGGTGCCAGATTATCGCGAACCCAGATATTGATGGAATTCGATTGGCAATCCCATCTGCCACAAGAAACTTTGCTGTTGATGGCTACAAGCCCAAACCACACTAGTCATACACATTCAACCATCAGTTTTGTAGCACTTTGATAACTATAATAGGAGAAAATAGTTCCATAGACTCTTTTGCAGTGTCATATTCATTATACTGAAAAATGCCCAAGCCTCATCTCATTATTAGATTTCTCTCGGGTACACTTGGAATGTTTTATCTACTACATGCATATATTTTGGAGCCAAAGTAATTGCATTGTTCACATTTATATCTTCCGACCAGAAAGGCTTGATCACGCTGTCCTAATAAAACCTGAAAAAACATGAAAAGATTAAAAAGTGGCTACTGATTTTGTATCTTCTTCTTCCCTACTCTCTGTCCCTACCTCTTCGAAAAAAACTCTGCAAATTGCCCAAACCCAGAAAAAAAAAAAAAGAAAGAAACTTATTTTCATTTTGTTATCACCAAATTCCTCCCTGCAATACTCTCATTATTTCCTGATGCAAGTTTAAAGTGTAAATCCCAATTTAGCTACCTCATAAGTAGTAGCAGTAAAATAGCCACAAATTCAATCTACCCCCAAGTCCAAACTCTGTACATCGGAAGCCTTAGTACATACTCTCTCTGTTCTAAAATTATTGTCATAGTTTCAGATTTCACTTTTAGTACAATTTGAACTAGAAATAAAAACTTAAACTCGACAATAATTATGGAACGGAGGGAGTATCTTTTATTGTTGTACAATTAGGACTTGCAGTAAAACATCCCAATTCATTTAGCTTCTTGGTTGTTTTTGGAACTCGTCAGGGATAGTTTATGTTGATTCCACGATTTATATCCTTATCAGCTTCATGATTAGTATAATCTCTTCATGGTTCCTCATAATGGTTCCGACATCATCGATGGGACATCGTTAGTTCTACATAAATGACAGCCCAAACTTGTCCAAGTCAAGAAAATCTTGTATTTGATCAAATGTTCTGGTATTCCGAAGGAAGGCTTAAGAAGCTTAGCAGCCATGGATTTAGCATTGAAAGATTCATTTTGTTTATGATGGCACCAAGGAGGAAAAAGTCTCGGACTGTTTCAAATTCAATAAGGATTATGGAACCAAAAAAAAAAGAAAAAAAGAAAAAGTGAAAATATATAAAGAGAGACATGGAGACTGGGGTTCCCTGCATTTAACAGAGGGGCAAGAGATCTTGAAGCAAAGGGAGGAAACTTATATGTAGAAAAATTGAAGGGAGTAGGAAGGAAGAGATAGAGAGTATATGCAGCTTTTGACTTTTATAAAGGGTAATTTTTTGAAAAATTATAAAGATTTGCTCTGGATGCTAAATAATGTTGGAATACTTGTATCTATAACCATAATAAAATCGCAAGTATCATCTTATTTCACAATTCAACGTCGTAATAGAGATATATGAGCGATCCTTCTTCCTCCAAAAGTAATGTTAATTTTTGAAAAATCTGTGCAATGCACAAACATAATATAGATTGTCAGCTACTGATTTACGAGATGTACTTGTGCTAGTGAAATTGCAAGAAGTTATTGCTTTATTACTAGTTTTAATTTCATCTTCTGAGCTTTGTAAAATCGTTAAGGTTGGTAGAATAGATGTTAGTGACTTGTATAATAGCATATGGTATAATAGCATATACTATAATAGCATATAGTATGAGCCAATGTAATAGTATCGGTATTAGGTACTTAACATTAATGTCAGGCACCTTTCTAAAAAATAAAAAGAACACTGTACTAATTTGATAATAAAACTTTGTTATAAATATAGTTCAGAACTCACTTTCTACCCAGATTAAATTAGAACTGTTTTTCGATGTAACTTTATAAAACCTTGTCAATTACAGTAAAAATCTCCTTAAAATACAGTTTAACCTAAACATTTCATCAATTTATAAAGGTTCTGGATTTATTAATAAATAAATTATATTAACTTATCAATAAATTAATAATTAATTTATGAGGCTTTCCTTTCTATCCTTATCGATTTGCCATCGTCATTATTAGAAGAGATAAAATCAAGAGCATTTGGGAATTTTCGTGTATATATGGTTATATGGATATATACAAGAAATTACTACAATGACTCCTATAATCATGCTAATCTACATAAATATAAGGATAGGACTTATCCACAAAATCATTACAATTCCTAATATATGCTAATCACTAACATCCCCTCTCAAACTCAAGATGGAATCATAGAAGACAACTTGAGTTTGCATAAGAGATCTTCAAAACGAGAGGGAAGGTGTGTTTTAGTAAATATATCAGCTTTTTGATTAGCAGATGAGACTGGAATCAAGCGAATGGTGCCTCGAGTTACATGGTGGCGAACAAAGTGACAGTCAATTTTAATATGCTTGGTACAGGTGACAGTCAATTTTAATATGTTTGGTACGCTCATGAAAGACATCATTATGAGCAATTTGGATTGCACTATTACTATCACAGTGAAGCATTGTAGCCAAGTTTTGTGTGGTACCCATATTAACCATTGTAATTCAACAGTAGCATCGGCAAGATCACGATACTCTGATTCTGCACTAGATCGAGATACAATAGTCTGTTTCTTACTTCGCCAAGAAATCAAAGAGTCCCTCAAGAAAAAACAGAACTCCGTTGTAGAACGACAGTATGTGGGATCACCAGCCCAATCAGCATCAGAGTAGCCAGATAATACTAGAGAAGAAGTTGTAGGAAAATGTAAGCCGTGGAACATGGTGCCTTTAACATAACGAAGGATCCGAAGAACAGCTGCGAAATGTGTTGATCACGGAGCAAACATAAATTGACTGACCAAGTGAACTGCACATGAGATATTAGGACGACTAACTGTCAGATAAACAAGACTACCAACAAGTTGGTGATAGAGAGTAGGATTAGCAAGAGGGCTGCCATCAAGAGGTGTGAGCTTGCAGTTAAACTCTAATGGAGTTGTCTCTGTTTTACTGTCTGTAATACCGGCACGCGATGGTAAGTCGGAGACATACTTGGCTTGAGAAAGATAGTAACCTTCAAAATTGTGAGAAACTTCGAGACCCAAAAAATAACTAAGACACCCAAGATCCTTCATTTCAAAATGGCGACTGAGATACCCTTGCAACTCTGTAATACCAGATGTATCATCTCCTGTGATGATCATATCATCAACAGTAGGAGGACAATACCACGGTTAGTTCTGTGGATAAACAAGGCAGAATCATATGGACTACAAACAAAACTAGACTGCACAAGAGTAGAGCTGAATTTTGCAAACCAGGGCCGAGGAGCTTGTTTTAGTCCATATAATGCTCACCGAAGCTTACAGACCTTATGAGGGGCAGAATATCCAGGAGGAGGATGCATGTAAACTTCCTCCACCGAATCTCCATTCAAAAAAGCATTCTTAACATCCATCTGAAAAAGCTTCCATTTACGAACTGCAGCAATAGCCAAGAGACTACGAACAGATGTGAGGCGAGATACTGGAGCAAAAGCTTCTTCATAATCAATTCCATATTCCTGAGTATAGCCCTTCGCTACTAAGCGAGCTTTGTACCTCTCAACATATCCATTAGAGCGGTTTGATCTTATAAACCCATTTACAGCCAATCGGAGTTTTGCCACGAGGAAGGTCAACTAAGTCCCAAGTATGTGTTTTCTCCAAGGCCTGAAGTTCCTCAGTCATTGCTTACTGCCAAAGAGGGTTAGAACTAGCCTCATGATAAGAACGAGGCTCATGAAGGGTTTTAAAATCAAAACCCCAAAAATCGAGGTTAAGAAAAAAGAAAATATACTTCCTCCGTCTTAAAATTATTGTCCAGTATAGATTTTTATTTTTAGTTTATATTATGCAGGAAGCAAAATCTCAAACCGGACAATACATTTTAGGACGAAAGGAGTAGTTAACAAGTTAATATTTCTTTCTCAGGATAAAACTAACTAGATTTTTGCCCTTCACTCAATTGGTTATCCATCTTAGTTTGTTGTAACTATCCGTATGTCTGTCTGTCTGCCTATCTATCTATCTATCTATCTATCTATTTATTATTACTAGTACTTTTCCCGTGCATTGCACGGTGGATATTTAAAAATGCTTATTTGAACATCTAAATGATATTTTTTGTATTATTGAAATATGTGTAGGTTTTTTAGGAAGCTAGGTTTAGCTTTTGAAGGTTGTGTGTACATAACATGATTGTATTGGTGATGTGAAGCATTAATGGAACTTTTTACATTTGATCCAAAAAAAAAAAAAAAAGGATGGCTGATTAGGCAAACTCATATAGGAATCCCTACTTTCACGCTCAATCTTGTCATCTGAGGTTTGCGCAGCTGATTTACCTCCCACTGTGATTAACTATTATCATGGGTGTGAGTTTATACATCTCTGGTGGGGTTCCATCGTTGCCAAAAAACCAAAAAAAAAAAAAAAAACACACACACAGACACAGACACACAATAATAATCTCTAAGAAATATTGCAATATCATTTTACATCCATCATATAATTATAGAAATTAAATCATTTATATTAAATTCACAAATTTTTAAGATGAAAAATCACCACAATTTGGTACTTAATCAGGTATTTAGTCACTTTAAATGTGTATTTAATTAACATTGAATGAACGAATAAAATGCTAAATCACAACAACATTCGTTATTCATCTAAACCCATCGCATTAAATACATATATGTGTAGAAAAATTTTACAAGGAAAAATAAAAGAAATGGATCAAAACTGTCCATATTTAAATGTTATCTTTATAGATCTATCCATCTGAGGTTAGGATAGTTAAAATTGAACCACATTATTATTCCCTATAAAATTTCTTGTTAAATCTTCCATGTACATATCACTATTTTTACCAAGGGTTGAATGGACAACGTTTTTGTTTTTATTTTCATTTTAGATTTGAGATGTGTTTTAAAAGGTATATTGAGCAAAAATTTTAAAACTTGTTTGGGTAGTTTTTAAAATAAAATAATATTATTTATGCAAAGTTGTTTGCTTAGTAAAATATTTTAAGGAATTTTTACTGCAAAAATTATGGGATTTTTTTCATTCATCTTTCACCTTATTGATTTTTTCCCCCCTATTGCCATATAACTTCTTTAACAAGAACTCTTGGAAGTTGGAACATTTACTTGATTTTGTAATGGTGAAAAGTGCTCCTCTAACTTCAACTTTCCTGTTTTTGTAAATGTGAAAGAATTAAATATTTAATTTACTCATTTCAAATTGTCAATTTTCCATATATTTATACCAAATGTGTCATAAACTTGGACTATAAATTCTATTTCTTAT